AAAGGGAGGGAGAGACTTGCCACACTAAGAAGCTGGACTGGTGTGGGAACAGATTTTACCCTGTCCTGGGATAAAGAGGAGTGTGCAGGTATGCACAGGTATGTAGCTGGGCTCTGTTCTTTGTCTCTTGGAGTGAAAGAAGAGACTGGCCACCCCTAGAAACCATGCCTCAGTCTACAGGAATCACTGGGGCTGCCCAGTGATGCTTCAGATGCTGGCATTTGTTTAACCTTTACATAAAGAATGTCTGCAAGGTGCGAACGCTTTCTATGAGCAATGATGCTGCACTTTTCTCTAGTTGTGGTTTCTCCTGGTATCTCTACTCTTTGAAACCCATTTTTGTAAATAACGGGTTTCAATAGGTTTTAGGGGATTCCATTTCTGAAAATGTGAATAGAAAATTCTCTGTGTTTGTTACTGCAGCTTAAAGGTTACTGAAGATTCATTATGCTAAAACAATGATATCTTAGCAGGTAACACATCTTTGGCAGCTCTTCAAAGGTGTACTTCGGAATGGAAAAGAAAGGAGATTACATAATCATGATGGGTTTGATTTGTAGAGTTTCTGTATAATTTTTAATAGTCCATAGTACCTATACAACAACCTTTATTAGAAACACAGTTAATCATATTGATTGAATATTTAAAATTTTAATACTTTAAAAAAATCAAAGTGTTTAGTGTTGCTTTGACAGTCCACTTAAAAGTTTAAGCATAGAATTTAAATGCCATGGAATTTTACCTGAGTTTAGTATATAAAAACCTCCTCTGTTGAGGGTTAACAAAAATAAAAATAAATACACATCCAGGGGATACTAAATACGATTGAGAGGCTTAAACAGAGGAATACTACAGTATCCAGAATCTGTGAGGAAATTTTATTACAGTTGAGATTGTGTAACTCAGAATAATAAGGCTCATTCATATCTAAATATATGAAGATTATTCAAATATACACAGCATGTGAACCACTTAGTTTCATTATTACAAAATATAAAACAAAAAAGATTTAACTGGAAGTGAAAATTAAACCCTAGAACGTGATTCAAAGAGAAGACCTTGTATAACTTTAAACTGTGAACTGTGCTGTATGATTTAGAATATTACACTTTGTTGAGGAAGGAAATGAACTTCAGTTTTCCATTTCAGTTAGAAATAAGAAATGAAATTTTGAACATGTACTTACTTTCCAAATGCATAAGTCAAATTGAACACAGATTCTTAAAAAATATATATATTTTGTTGATTTTTTACAGAGAGGAAGGGAGAGGGATAGAGAGTTAGAAACATCAATGAGAGAGAAACATTGACCAGCTGCCTCCTGCACACTCCCTACTGGGGATGTGCCCGCAACCAAGGTACATGCCCTTGACCGGAATCGAACCTGGGACCCTTCAGTCCGCAGGCCGACGCTCTATCCACTGAGCTAAACCGGTTAGGGCAGATTCTTAATCTTTTTTAAAATAAATCTATTTAAATATATTGAAGTATAAGTCTAACCAACTGTCATTTCCAGTAAGATAATTTTACAAGCGACGGGTTAAATGAAGAGCTCAGTCAGGCTGAAAGCAGGTCAGAAACCTTTGGCCATCGTCTTCCCTCTGACTCAGTTCTGATTCCAGGATAAAATGACCACTGGCAGAGGGGGAAGAAGGCCGAAAAGGGCAAGGACTTAAGATACTTCAAATGTCAATGGGACTTGGAAGGGCTGTGAGAGGGGCTGGTGCCGCTCTTCTCCTACCTCTGGCCGCTGTGTTTCCTTTGGAAAGGAGGGTCTGGTTGAAACTTGTAGAAGCAGAAATGCCTCCTTTATGAACACAGCCGGCCCCCTGCCTCCCCCCGCCCAGACCCCCACCCTGGGGTTCTCTGTGATTATTTCCTTGTTTTTACATCTTCCTATGTTTTCTTCTACTTCTGCATTACATGTTGCCTCGCCATCAATGTCCTCATCAGAATTTCCCCACCTCATGTCATACTTCTCTCATAACTCTTGTCCCACTCTCATTTTCTAAGCGATCCTGAAGCTTCAAGTGAAAAGCAATAAATTCCTCACATACCAGAACAAACACAGAAATAAAACCTCCACCTTTTTGGACTAAAAGCTACAGAAATTACATTCTTGTGTCAGTGCCAAACTTTTATGCCTAAGAAAAGTATCCGAGGCCCACTTTCCCACTATTTCAACTTCAAGCATACATCTAGGTTAAACTAGAAGCTATTGCCACTCTCCCTCATAGTATATACCTCGTATACAAATTCATGTCCTGTACAGTTGAATTTAAATGCCATTTCAAAAGGTCATTTGACTTTCAATTGTTTTTAACAGAAACACATACACACTCGCACACTGACAACACAGGGTAACCATTTGTGGACTGTATAAATACCTATAGAGATTGTCAAACAAACTAAATGCATAGACAGAAAGGCACCTTACACCACGTGCAATGTTTTATCCCATTCAACATTCGTTAAAACCCTCTTGGGCGCTAAGTATCCAACCAGAGAGAGGGTGGATGGAAAATGAGCCAGACCAGGTTAGCATCTTCTATGCTATGCTTTCCAGTCACCTGGTACTTCTCCATCAAGGCAAGCTTTGTAATTGCAACTAATTATTACCTTATTTGTTCAGGCCTGTCTCTCCTTCCCACTGGCACATTCTTAGCAAATGAGGAGGATCCCAGTTAATACACAGCCTGGTGTCGGCCACGGAGTAGAAATCCAATCAATATTGACTGAGTAACAGTATGATGTTACGTTGTCAAACACACCGAATAAGGTAGTGAATAAGAGTGTCAGTTAATACACACACAACTTCCTCTAACAGTCAAAAGTTAGAAGAATTTGTCCACTTAGAGCAGCATCAGAGAGGGAAGATGAATGCGGCCTTAGTGTTTTTCACTCTACAAAGACTTCGAGACCAAATAGCTTTCGAAGCCCAAGGGGACAATAAGCCAACACTCCTACTTTTCCATGTGTTGGAGGAATGAGCTAGCGCTACTCCGGGTAGAATTTTATACTGTTCAGCTAGGGCTTTATTAAATTTCCAGCAAATACTTGCCACTGCCTCTTTGGAAGCCTTCCTACTAGGTAACTGGAACAGGATTCAATTGAATAAAAGGCAAACAGTAGCTCCATATACCTATTCAGAGTGCATGGAAATTTCATTAAAAATGGCCTTGGCCATTCTAGCCGGTGTGTCTCAGTGGTTAGAGCGTTGGCCCTTGTACCGAAGGGTCTCAGGTTCAATTCCCAGCCAAGGGCACACACCTCGGTTGCAGGTTTGTTCCCTGGACCATGCTTGGGGTGCATTTGGGAGGCAACCAGTTGATGTGTCTCTCCTCCACTGATGTTTCTCTCTGTCTGTCTCCCTTCCACTTTCTCTCTTAAAAAATAAAGTCAACGGAAAAAATATTCTCAGGTATTAACAACAACGACGAAAAACAAGCCTTTACCTTAAAATTGCATTTCTGTTTATATGCCGATGCTCAAAAACCTTAAAGCATTTATTTTAATAAAATTAAAAGCCTTCTTCTGAATGTCCTACAATTAAACTCAGTATGGAATCAATTATTTAAATACCACGTATTCTCTTGTAGTCTTATTATTGTCTGTTTTAGGTTCGTAACTTTTTAAAATTAATAAACCTTATTTTTAGAGCAGTTTTTGATTTATAGATGTTTATAAATTTTAAAGAGAAAAGTGAATAAATTAAGTTCTACCAGAGAAATATATTAAAAATTTCAAAGGCTAACATTTATCGTATTAGCACAACACAGTTAAAACCGTTAATTATATATAAATATTAGCAATTAAAAATCATTTAAATATGACCTTTATGTTCATAAATCAAATTTCTATTTCTGTACTAAAATGCAAAATAACATTTTGAAACACAAAATGAAAAATTCTTGTAACAATCATATTAAATATAGTGAGTTACAACCAGGTTATAAGGTTACATGGCCAGAGGAAGAACTATTTCAATATAATATCATTACATAAGGCTCCAATTCCAAAATCGCCATTATAGTTTGTAAAATCAAGATCAGCCGGGTCCAGGGAATAATGTATCTTTAAATTTTTTTTGTGTTGCACATTTTCGTCTTGACTTTTGTGTATAAGAACACTAGTATTCAAACATAAATGAGATTTCATCCATTTGCCTATAATTTATTTGCTGTAAAAGAAACACCACATTATATGCTTTTGTCTGTTAGTTAAGTAGAAGATACACTATTATTTCCATGATACCAGGGAGTTAATGTTTAATTATCAACACCCATTTGAAAAAAAAGACCTTGCTTTGACTCACAGATTCCTTAATTGCTAACAGAGGCTTTTCCGAGTAGGAGCACGGTATCTAATTTATTTTGGTGGATGTGACTTAGCGACTGAATTTTAAACTGGCAAAGCTTGGACTATCTTCACTGTCAGCAGAAAATTCCTCTTTGCCTGCTGCTGGAGAATGGTGTTGCTTGAAGTTTTAACAGGGAAAGAAACTGCAGTGAGGCAATGGATACCACTGGTAACTGCTGCTCACAAACTGAAAAAGAAGTTAGGTTGTCAGCAATAAAAATCTATTATTCGCCCAGAACACGAGGTGCCGTCTTCATCACCGTGTCTTGCTGGGAATGAAAATGAACTGGGCTGGTTCCAACTTGAGAGAGCTACAGAAAAGCAAAGAGCCCACAGGCCAGGGCACCTTTACAAAGGACCAGCAACCGGCAATCAGGGGGACCTCAACCCCTCCCTGAGGAAGAAAGACGTTAGATCCATTGCAAGAACAGTGGCCACGGCTGGCGTTCGAGCAGGTTCATCCCTGCAAAACAAAACCATTGTTCCATGTTCAGAAGAGCTGGCTAGTTTAAAGTGCCCCTCTCCCTCTGGAACAGGTCATGGTCCACATGTCACTGCAATAAAATGAGTAAGAGAAAAAGAATATATGTACTTAAATGACATCTCAGAGATGAAGTCCAAAGTAACAGAAAAGTGCCTACCCGTCTGGCTGAGCTGGGAAGCGCTGCGGCTTTTCCGGGTGAGGCCAACAATAGCTACCATTTTGGCCCCGATGCTGGAGCGCCGCTTGTGGCCGCCGGGGCCCAGGGCGCCCGCCGCCGTGTCCGACTGGCTGCCCTCGCTCTTGTCCAGCGAGCACATGTCGCCGCTGATGCTGCTGCTCTTGGTCATGTTCTTCCCCGCCGCGCCCACTTGTCGGCTTTGCATTTTGGATGTAAAGACACTGCAGGCCGATGGGTCGTTAAGAGTGAAGACGAGAGTCAAAGGGAAAAGACAGAAAAGGGATTTTAGAGGAAACATCTGAGACCGAATGGCAGCCTACCATTTATGGGGCATACTTTGAGGATTACGGTTTTTCAAATCCCAGGGTCATGAATGGGCCTTCCTACTCGGGGTGAACCTTAACACGGCTATGGAAAACGGACTTAGCGTTTCCCTTCTGGTGTCAAAGAAGACGCCAGCTTGCATGGCCAGAGGAGGAAAAAAATTCATAAAAAATCTGTGGGCTGTCCTGCAAGTGAAAATAAGCTTTGAGGCAGCTGTGTAGCCTAAGGAGGACGTTTCCAAAGCTTCCTCCCCTATTGATTCGCTACTGCCTTCAAAAAGAAATTCGATGGAGTGGGAAATTTTACAAAAAAAAAAAAAAAAAAAAAAAAAAAAACCCAAAAAAAAAAAATGGCGAAAATTACAGCATCCATTGCTCAGAGTGGCCTTTTAAAACAAGTTTTTTTCACTTTATGAAAAACCTAATGAAGTTTATCTAGCAATAGTGAAATTTTCTAACAGGGATTGATGTTTTCATTAGCTTTGAATTAAACATAATTTATTTCACTTCATATAGTTTCATATTTATTGACATAAGTCAATATTAAAAAAGATTTTCCTCTTGCATTCATTTGGCAATGAAAAATCACTATCCGTTTGCTAGACGGTGGTCAGAGAGCAATCAGTGAGTCCAGGAGGCATGCGAGCTGACTGCTGGTCTGCGGGACTAACTCTGTGGATGGAAGTAATCAGAAAGAGGACCTGGATTTTCTCATGATCACTGCCTGGGGTAGCAGGTAGAGTAAGAAGTTAAAGAATGAGGACATAGGCTATAGCCCCATAAGCCTGGAAGAATGTGAAGGAAGCAGCCTGAATGGCAGAAATAGGAAGACTCATATATGTATCACCAATTTTTGGCTCAGCATGAGAGAGTGATAGTTTCTGCTTTACTTTGATTCTGATCAATCTGAGCATATAACACATAATTACAGAAACAAAATAAAAAATAGGAAACATTAGAAAAAATGTATACATCATTTAAAGGATGAAAATAAGAAAACTGACCCACCGAGGAGAGCTCTTATCTCTATTCAATTTCTTGGTCTTAGTAAACAAAATATTTTTTTTTCTCTAGCCTAGAGTAAAATCTGCTAAAAAGATAGGACAACTTGTTAATTTTATTAGTGTATGTACATTTTCTCCAAATATTTAAGAGGGGAAAGGCTCAATATGAAATTTTTAAAAAATACAGTAAAGTGTATTATTTTAACCATCACATTAGTTTCAACAAGAAATGAGGCATAAAGAGAAAGAGAGAGAGAAGCAAAGAGAAGTGTATATGCTTCTATAAACCTCAAATTGATCATTTTCAAGCTTGTCTGATGTTGCTATTCTTTAACCCCTTCCCCAACAATTTTTTTGTTAAAAACGTTTCTTTTTCAGACTAATTTTTTTATTTTGGTTCTATATAGTATTTTTGATGCTGGTTATGAAAACAGTTTGTAACTCGTCTTCCTATAAACCATATTTTTTTGCCATATTTTCTTAGTATACTCGTCGACGACTGAAAAAGAACATTTTGTGAAAACGTGTATACACGTTTCTGCCGGGGAAGGGGTTTTAATAAGCAACAAAAAACAAAACATTTTAGAGCCATATAAACATGGGTTTGAATCCCAACTTCGCTTTTTCTGAAAGAGTTAATTGCTCTACTCTGAGCCTCCGCTTCCTCTAATGTATAAAATTAGAATTTTCCTTCCTTATTTTCAATAATAGAGATAATATGTCTGAAGTAAAAATTAATGAATAGAAATTACAATAATAATTATTAAGGTGCCGAAACCGGTTTGGCTCAGTGGATAGAGCGTCGGCCTGCGGACTGAGAGGTCCCAGGTTCGATTCCGGTCAAGGGCATGTGCCTTGGTTGCGGGCACATCCCCAGTGGGGGGTGTGCAGGAGGCAGCTGGTCGATGTTTCTCTCTCATCGATGTTTCTAACTCTCTATCTCTCTCCTTTCCTCTCTGTAAAAACTCAATAAAATATATATTAAAAAAAAAAAATAATTATTAAGGATATGGGCACTAAAAAAATAAGGTCAAACATGTATTATATACAGTAAATACATAACAGCATCAGTAGAAACAATATTTGCAATTATAAATTTAAAGTGAAACATTTTGAGATTAAAATGTCTAAAACTGTTTTCATGCAGCCAGCATTATCTAGCATCTTGAACTGGAATATCTATGAGGTCCCCTTTAACTAGTGGATGCTTTGCTCCTCTAGATATCTCTTGTTCCAGGGATTCTGAGCAAATGAATACAGAATGGAACAAGAAAGAGATTTTCATAGTACGCTGTCATCAGAAAAGGCACCGCATGGCTTAGAAAAAGCAAAGTTTTTGGTTGAGCAAAGGCTTTGAAAATAATAACATAGGCCTACAGAGTCACAGTAACCTAGTGCTCCTGTTATGTAGGAATTTGTACCTCAAACATACATTTTCTAAAAAAACCCACCTACTTATTTGTCAGGGAAGTCAAAGATATACTCACAAAATATGGCTTACTGGACCTTGTGCTTTCTGCATTTTAATTTTCATGGTTGGATATAAAGGGCATAAAAAACTTGGCCAAAATCAAACAGGATACAATAAAATACTAAATGGGAATGATAAATCAGTGTGTAGGGTAATATTTTAATTAGCATTTGGTTTTAAAGAAGTACACTTCTCTTCAACCTAGCAACTTGGATAATGCATTATCTACAAGAAAGGGTTATTAGATGTTTTGTTAAGATGGATCTACTTGAACTTCGAGATCACCAGGGATGCGTTTATAAGTAGTTGCGCTGGAATGCTGTTCTGAGGGAGGGAGACTGATGTGAGGGTATCACTATTGGCTTATTTTACTGTCCTCAGTGGACGTCACCTAAACCTACAGCAAACAAACTATCAACCACACATTTTAAAGTTTTCGGGCTCTTGATTTATAGAATACTTGTAAAGACTCTGCAAACATGGGTGTCATTTGGAATGCTCATTGTGCTTAATAAAGCGAAGACCCATTACATTACCAATTACTTTAAAAGCCAGAATTTGAAAGGGTCTCGTAATATAATAAATTTCCAATGTTGCTGGTGGTCTCAGTGATAGATTCTGAGGGGCAATTTGGCAAATATATAAAAAACCTTAAAAAAATAAGCTGACCTTTTAACCTATCAATTCTATTTTTAGGATTGATCCTAAGGAAAATCTTAGCAATGTGTACAGATTTAGCAAGAATGATTATTTATTGAGAATTGATTACAACAGCAAAATAAACACACACGGGAAAACCCCATAAAACGTCCAACTATAGAGGGCGTCTGAATAAGTTATGTTCATCAATAAAATAGAATGTACCTTTGAAAATGCTGTTGTAAATAAATATTTATTGACATAAAATATGTTCCTGACATGGAGAAAGGGAGAGAGGAAGCAGACATCTGAGCTTAGTTCTGGCTGGCACACATACTAAATGAAGAATTATCCTAACGCTTGGGGACACAGACAAATTCAACTGCCAGAGGCTCTTCAGTGGCACACAAAGAGAAACAAAGAGATTCATAAAAAAAAAAAATCAAAGACCAACACTCCTTTTCCTTTGACATAGGTAAAATCATTCAACACACACAGTTCATACCACAGACCGAAGGCGTAGCATGGCCTTCAAGCTAATCCAGTTTCCTGCACAATATTGGGTGTTGATATAGGCTACTCCGTTTCAGAAAAAGGCAGAGTTTCTACATTTCTACGTTCTGTCTTATGCAACACACAGAGTTCATACCACAGACCGCAGGTGTAGCATGGCCTGCAAGCCAATCCAGTTTCCTGCACAATAATACTGGGTGTTGATATAGGCTACGCCGTTTCAGAAAAAGACACAGAGTTTCTACATTTCTACGTTCTGTCTTATGCACATTTTCTAATTTTGCTTTATAAAAAAATGAAAAATGATCTATTTAGTATCCTAAAAGTAAAATATGTAAAATTGCCAATGCAAGTGATCTATTTTATCACATCCTTGTCGTTATTGAAAGTTGTATCCTGAAAGATATTGGGATGTGTCCTGAGCGGAACTGAACCCTGACCTCCTGGTTCATAGGGTGACGTCCAACCAATTGATAGCTATCTCAGCTGGGCTATCCTGAAAGATCTTTTTTTTTTTTCTTTATTAAAAAGCAAATCTGCTTTGTCAATCATTAGGCAAAAGGTAATGAAAGGTGAGTAAAATATTTGTAAATATTTCCCCAAAGACTTAAATAGCATATCGGGGTTATAGAAGTAGGTGATTAAATTAAATGAAGGTTACAGGCCACAGGGCTAAAAGTGTTAATTAATAGATTTGAGTGAACAGATCCAAGTGTTTGGCTGTTAAGATGAATAGGAAAGACAAATTCTGAGTTTGTGAGTAGCATTGTAAACAAAATATATAGTCACGTCCAAACAAGAATTTCATTATATTCTTGTTTGAGAGCTGGAAGGTGGTTAGAAGAGAATTCACCCAAGGAATTAGAGGCTGAGGTGATTCAGAATTTTGTGATTAGAGATACTTGGGGCCTAGCAACCGATACAGTGGAGTCGGAGAACCAAAGCACAGAAACAGAGGAGACACTTAAGGGTGGAAAGGAGACATAACTTTAGAGGAGAAGCATTTATATCTTGGGCTAGGAAGTGGTGCCAGAGAGGGCGTGTAGGGCTCCAAAGTTAGGTGATAGTAACAATGGCAGAGTAGGAAAAACCCAATGAGATTGGCCAAGCTCCCAAACATTATAGAACCTTGAAAGGCCTAATTCCTTTTTCCTTCCCTCTGCTGTGTTCCTGGAGGCAGGTGCCAAGAGCTAACTGAATACCTCTCACTACAACTCATACGTGCTTGCACCAGTTGCCAGTCATTGGGTGGGTGTCTGGACTAAAAAGTGCCA